AGACACCAATCCAGGCTCTCCAAATCTTTCTGAACAAGTCTCTCATATTTCAAACTTGTAAGTAAACAGCCAGGCAAGGCATGTTAGTTTTTAATCTTTGTTTTCTCAACTTGTAAATGTACCTTTTTGCAAGAGTGTTTATCTCTGTTTGCTGTAACTTTGAACCTAAGGCTAGAGGGGATTCCTCTGGGCTCTTTAAGTTTGATTACCCTGTAAAGTTAGTTTCCATCCTGATTTTACAGAGATGATTTTTACCTTTTTCTTTAATTAAAAGCCTTCTTTTTAAGAACCTGATTGATTTTTCCTTGTTTTTAGATCCAAGGGGGTTGGATCTTGATCCACCAGGAGTTGGTGGGAGGTAGGAGGGGGGGGTGGTTAATTTCTCCTTGTTTTAAGATCCAAGGGGTTTGGATCTGTATTCACCAGGGAATTGGTGAAGAGTCTTTCAAGGCTACCCAGGGAAGGGAATTAGCACATTTGGGAGTGATGGCAGCGGACCAGATCTAAGCTGGTAGTTAAGCTTAGAAGTTTTCTTGCAGGCCCCCACATTTGTACCCTAAAGTTCAGAGTGGGGAAGCAACCTTGACATATGGATACAGCTCTCTGCCCTAGGGTGAGAATACACACAAGGCAGTTACCTTTTTCCGTAACTGATGTTCTTCAAGATGTGTTGTTCATGTCCATTCAACTTAGGTGTGTGTGCTGGCCACATGCACCAGTGCCGGAAGATTTTTCCCTCAGCAGTATCTGTAGGGGACCAGCTCTGGCGCCCCCTGGAGTGGTGCGCATATGCCACAGTAAATAGGGCACTGCCGGCTCCCCCCACCCTCTGTTCCTTCTTGCTGGAAACTCCGACAGTGGGGAAAGAAGGCGGGTTGTGGAATGGACATGCGCAACACATCTCAAAGAACACCAGCTTCGGAAAAAGGTAACAGTCTTGTACGTATCTCTACCCATAGGAACCCTAACCCTAGCTCCAAGCACTCTACCCAGAGCAACCTTAATTTCAGTAAGAAGCGATTCAACTCTCGCAGGTCCAGGATAAGTCGCAGACTGCCCTTGGCCTTTGAGACTAAGAAGTAACGGGAATAGAACCCCTTGTTCCTGTACTCTGAAGGAACGCCCTCCAGCTCACCTAGCTGCAGTAACCCCTCTACCGCCTGTGCGAGGAGACCCTCGTGAGAAGGGTCCCTGAAGAGGGACGGGGGTTGGGGTGGGAAGGAGGGGTGAAAAGCAACTGAAGGGTGTAACCCCCACGCCACCATACTGAGGACCCATCGGTCCGCTGTAATAGATGCCCATGCAGGGAGGAAAGGAGAATGGTGGTTGGCAAAAATAGGGGAGGAAAGATCCTGGGAACAGTCTGGTAGGTTGCCCCCGGCATACTCTCAAAATGAGCGCTTGCCCGCCTGCTTATTGCAGGCTGTGCTCAGCTGAGAAGCCTGAGAAGGCTGGTGGCTAGGATGCTGCTTGTAGCCCTGGCTTTCTTATGGGGAGGCTCCTGGTGAGGGTGGCTCCCCTGGCCCGGAGGCTGCTGTGGCTTGACCCACTTGCAGGCAGGGCTGGGAATGTTTTATGGGTCGGGCGCGAGTCCTTTAGGCCATGGAACTTATTGTCCATCTGTTCTGCAAACAGGGCTTGCCCATCGAAGGGAAGGTCTTGTGTCAACTGCTGAGCCTCCGTGGTCAAGCCAGAGAGGCGCAGCCAGGATGCCCGGCGCATAGCGTTGCCCTCCTCCATGATTGCCCAGAACTCCTTCCTAGAAGCCTCAGGAAGGGAGCCCTCGAACTTGGCTATGGCTTGCCCCATATTAAAGTCATAGCATCCCCGGAGGGCCTGATGGTTGGCCACCCTCAACTGGAGACTAGAGAAGGAATAAACCTTATGCCCAAACAAGTCTAGTCTCTTGGAGTCTTTATTCTTAGGGGTAGCCCCGGGCTGACCCAATTGCTCCCTGTGGTTAACTGTCTCTACCAGTAGAGAGTTGGGAGCAGGGTGGGTGTACAGGTACTCATGGCCTTTGGATGGCACAACGTACTTGCGCTCAGCTCTCTTGGAGATGGGGGGGCAAGGAGGACTGAGTTTGCCACAGGGCATTAGTGACCTTTGAGACCCCCTTCATGAAGGGGCAAAGTCACCCTGGCTGGTGCTATGGAGCAGAGTACATCGAAGAGAGAGTCTGAGGGCTCCTCTAACTCCTCTGCCTGAAGACCCAAGTTGGCATGGACCCTCTTTAGTAGTTCCTGGTGCGATTTAGCCTCATCTGGAGGAACCAGTGGAGGGCGCCCTGTTACAGCTTCATCTGGTGATGATGAGGAGGATGCCTGTGCTGTAGGGTCCTCCACAACCATTGGTGGCACAGTGGCTTGCTCCCCTACTCCCTCTTTGACCTGCGGGGTCCTTGCGCCTGAGGCTTCGTGCACCAGAAGAGGGCGGGAGAGAGCGGCAGCTGGTCTCTCTGCGGCTCCTGACATGAGCAGGTGGCCTGGGAGGTCTGGGTGAACCCCCCATGGATTCCATGGGTACCATGGCCCTGGCCTCTGTGCCTGAGGTCCCGGGGCCGGTTTTGGTGCCCACAACGTAGCTGGCACCGCTGGTACCGGCGCTTGTCCCACTGTCAGGGAACCTCGCTCTGAACCCGGGCTGGATTCTGAGTGGTCGCTCCCAGTCGACCAGGCCCAAGTGGAACGGTGGCTCTGCCCTGACCGATGCCGATCACTCCACCTGCAGTCTGATCTGGAATGGGGTTTCGGGGACTGGTGGTGCTCGATGGATCCACGACAGCCTGGGGCCAGCGATCTATGTCTCGAGCTTGACGAACAGTACCGGGATGAGGAGCAGGACTGGGAGTCAGAACGGGCCCAGTGCTGGGAAGCACCCACATGCATTGATCCCTCAAGCGGTACCGTGGTCTCGGAGATACCGCGTGCCGGAACCGGTACTCCTGCCGGGGTACACGTGCCTACAGAGGTCTGCGCCCGGTCACCAGCAAACTGCACCTCAAGCCTTTCTGCCAGTGCCCAAGGTCTGGGGACCAAATGGGTCTGTGCTGCATCTGCCTTTCACTGTTAGAGGCATGGCAGCTATGGGAGGGTGAGCGCTGGTGGGACATCCCCTGCGATGGGGAACGGTGCCGCTGAGGTGGGGACCATGGCGGTCTGAACACGGGTTTACTCTGTGACCGGGGAACCACAGGAGCCAGTGTGGGCAGCACCGGGAGGGACATGATCTCCTGCGCCACCTGCAGGGCCTTTGGCATGGACGGTACCCTTCAGCATGGACAGTCTTAAGCTTTCCCTTGCGGAAGGATGTAGACCGACCTCACACCGTCTTCTTGGTCGGAGCCAGATGGGGAGCCAGTGGATGGTCCCAGTAGGGCACTGCATACCGAGGTCACGGTGCTTGGTGCCTGGGTGAGGACCGACTGCATAAGGAGCGCTCGTAAATGAATATCGCGCTCCTTCTTAGTCCTTGGCTTGAAGGACTTGCAAATTTTGCACTTTTCACTAATGTGCTCTTCGCACAAGCAAAGCAAGACAGCTGCTGTGTGGCTCACTAATGGGCATGGGCCTCTTGCAGCGATCACAAGGCTTAAAGCCTGGGGACCAGGGCATGCCCCGTTCTGAGGTAAAGTCCTGTTTGGGCCCTACGAAGTCGCTAACTATAACTAAGGGATTTACCAACACTAACAGAAAACTATATACACTATAATACAAGAATTAACGAGTTCGTATGAATAAGAAAGCAACAGTTCCAGCAAGAAGTAACTGAGGGAGGACGGGGGGCGGGGGGGGCGCCCTATATACCACGGCATCTGCATGCCACTCCAGGGGGCACCAGAGTCAGTCCCCTATGGATACTGCTGAGGGAAAAAACTTCCGGCACCAGTGCATGTGGCGAGCATACACACCTAAGGTGAATGGACATGAGCAAGCACTCGAAGAAGACCCTAGGATTAGGGTTCCTAAGGCTAAGGTAGTTGGTGCAGGGGCTAGGGTGCCTATGCTAAGAGTATTTGGAGCTTTAGTTAGGGTTAGGGCTCCCCACCCTAGGGTCAGGATTACTATGGAGATGGTTCCCCACCCAGTGGTTAGGTTCCTATGTGTGAGGCTCCCTGCCCTAGGGTTAGGGTACTTGGAGCTAGGATGAAGGTTCCTATGGGTATGGCTCCCCACTCTAGGGTGAGGACTGCTATGAGTAAGGCTCCCCACACTAGGAATAGGGTTCCTATGGGTAGGGCTCCCTTCCTTAAGGGTAGAGTTTCTATGATTAGGGTACTTGGAACTAGGGTTAGGGTTCCAATTGTAAGATTAGTTGGGAGGTTTTGTTAGATTTCGTAAAGGAAGGACTCCCCACCCTAGGGTCAGCATTCTTAGGCATAGGGTTACTGTGGTTAGAGTACTTGGAATTACAGTTAGGGTGCCTATGGATAGGGTTCCCCACCCTCAAGTTAGGGTGTCTCTGGATAGGGCTCTCTGCCCTAGGGTTAGGATGTCTATGCCTGCCGTAGTTGGAGTTAGAGTTAGGATCCCTTTAGTCTGGATATTTGAAGCCTTTGTTAGGGTTCATATGGGTAGGGCTTCCCACCCTAGGGTTACTGTTGGTACAGCTCCCTGCTTTAGGGTTCCTATGGGCAGGGTACTTGGAGCTCTGGTTGGGGGTTCCTACATTTAGGGCTCTCCACCCTAGGATTAGGGTTCCTGTGGGTCAGGTACTTGGAGCTCAGGTAGGGATCATATGGGTAGTGCACCTCTTGCTAGGAATAAGTTTCCTATGGGTAGGGCTCCCCATCCTAAAATTAGTTTAGATGATTAGGGTAGTTGGCGCTATAGTTAGGGATCCTAGGGGTAGGATCTTTGGAGCTAGGGTTAGGGTTCCCCTGGTTAAGCATCCCTGCACTAGGTTTAGGAGGCCTATGGGTATGAAGCTCCACACTAGCA